TGAGGTTCCGCGAAAAGAATATATACCGGAAATTATCAAAATAGTATCTGTATGGTCATTAATAGTAAAGCCACAGTAAATAACATATTACACTCTATGACTCTTAAATTTCTGTAAAACATTAAACTAAAAACATAAAGTTAGTTATCTTTATAAGCAGGTTCGTGCACAGCAAATTAAATTTCATTATTATTGGCGGGACACGTTTAACTCACACGTACTATATATACATATAAACACCTACGAACATCATATACACAGAAATAAGCAACATTACACCCACCAAAATGACCAAGTCTGTATGCATAGAGTTATGGGGGGGGGCGACTCTGACCCCCCCCTGTGCATACCCCTATTTAAACTCGTTTTAAGCAAATTGGCAATTGTATTAACAGCTGTTCAACAATATCACCTTTCTTACGCAACAATGGGCATTTAACATTATTGAGGACACTTTCCTATCTTAGGACACACCTACAAGTTGTGTCGTTGGATTTGTTCAGCAATTATAGGCAAGGTCCCTTCAAGCCAATCAGAAGACGAGAATTCTAAATTACAAGCCAAGCTGGTGGTTCTAAGACGTTTATTTCGTCACCGCAGCGTTTAGGAAAGAGGTAAGAAACTTGAGTAAGTGTTGCTTGTAACCGTTACTGTTAATAGTTTGTTGAAAGTGACTAAAAATTATAAGATTGTACAATCACACTATATATATATACATACATGTTAATTAATGTGTTGTATTACTGAATTTTTGCTGCTAGGCGTGGACTTTATTTCTGAAAACTTCTGCAACCTAATTTCAGCGGCCTCGGCTTACAGTAGGCTTACAGGCGATTTTTTGTCTTTGAACAGGCCCGCCAAGTGGGGCAAAGGGGGCAACTGCCCAGGGGCCCGGAAGAATTAAACCTGGTTATGCCGTAGAGCATCTTTAGGCTATATCTTCATTTAGTGATAAAACCATAGTTTTTAGCTTTTCTTTGTACGTAAACGCTTGATACATTAAGAACGACT